GTTCTCCGTGGGGACAACTCTCCTGGACTTTGGCCCCGAAATGCGGGGGGATGGAGCGATCCAAGGGGTCTGTCATCCCTGCCTGCAGTGCCTAGGCTGTGCTCATGAGCACCCCGGGCGGCGAAGCTGCTGGCCAGGACCCCTAATCCTGCCCATGGGCTCCCGGGTTCAGCATCCTTCTGCCAATAAGAAAAACTGAATGTGAACCCTCTCCAGAAGTCCCCAGTGCTGTCACCAGGGGAAAGCAGAGCTCCCATACAGGCCTCGGGCACCCAAGGTCCCTAGCTGGGCATCACCTCCATGCCAAAGGGTCTGTCTGCCGTGGTGTCAGCCCAGAGCCCGTGGGATCCTGGGGGGTTTTCCTCCTCACCGTGGTGGTTTCGTCCCCCTCCAGATGCTCACGCAAGGACCGGTGCGAGCGGGCGGATGAGCCCCAGCGCTTCGCCTCTGCTCTGCGGCAGTGCGTCCAGCTCACCGTCCAGCCGAAGAACATCTCGGTCACCATGTCGGAGGTCCCGGTAAGCCACCTCTGCTGCCCGCGGAACCCCCCCAGCCATCTCCTGACCCTCTGGAGGCAGCAATTAGAAACAAGTAATGAGTGTATGACAAATAGGGAGAAAGGGGAAGAGAGGTCTGAAACAAATAAAACATAGCAAAGTGGAGGGCGTTGACGAGGGCTGGCCTATTGATGGAGATAATAAACCAGTTGGTGATTATTCAGAAAAGACGTAACCGAGCAATAAATATTTCTCCATAATACAAACACCGACATCAGAGCTGCCGTCCACAGGCCAGCGATCCATCTAGCTCAATAGCCTGTCTCTGACCCTGGCCTGCAGTAGATATTCTGAGATGAGACTTCGATGCACGGCTCGCTGCTCTCGGTGCGGACAGGAAGGATGATGGACTTCCCCAAAGCATTTCTAGGCCATTAGCACAATACAAAAAAGCATGTACTAGCATTAAAGCTTTGAAAACTGCCAGGTCTGGGTACCTGGTACTCAGGAGTCCTGAAAGAGTTGGCTGAGAAGTTCCATGGCCAGTGGACTTCTGTAATAATATGACTTTGTAATAAATAAGTGAATGTTGAGAAAAGCCCGGGAAACAGAATAGGTGCTTGTTTTATTGCCCAGATGCAGAAAGGACCAAATGGTCACAGGCTGCTTAGTTTGATGTCAGGTTTAGAAAAACAAAAGGGAAAAAAATAGTGCAGGATGCAATTGATAAATATTTAGGGATGGGAATTATAATTAATGCCAGTCAGCGCGGTTTTATGTCAAACAAACCACATCTTGTTCTTTGATGAAATTATGACTTGAATTAGAGGAAGGACTGTGGGGATGTGATGTCTCTAGACTTCTGCAAGGCATTTGACTTGGTACAACACAATGTTCTGATTAAAAATTAGCATTATATAATATTGATAAAGCACGTGTGAAGTGGATTAAGAACTGGCTCCGTGACAGATCTCAGAAAGGCCTCGTCAGAGGGGAAGTGTCACTGGATGGAAACAGTTTGGAAGGCACTTCTGCAGGGGCTAATGTTTGTTGGTAACGTGGGGATAAATGCGAGATGGCTGCGGATGGGACCTGCTGGGACGGCAGGGCAGGCGCTGGGTGAGATTTCCTTCAGAGCAGTCAGGTTTGGGTGGGGCTGATTTAGCAGAGAAATTGGGGTTTGATATTGCCAAGTCTAAAATTAGACGTGGAGGGAGAGGGCAGGCATTCACCCGCCATCCTGGAAGGTGGTGCTGGGGCTGAGCCCTCGCTGCGGGGCTCTCGATGCCCCTCGGGCGAAGCCGGGAGCTGGGCGGTGTTTTCGCCTCTCCGGTGGTTATCTCCCTGACCCGTGGCAGGACGCTGCGCAGAGGTCTGGTGCGGTCGACACGGGGATGCTGCGCTGGGGCTGGAGTCCAGCTTTTGAAAGGGGAGGCTTTCAGCCTCCCGTAAACATCATGTAAATGAGTTGAAGGCTGGAGAAAATGCCTTGCAGTGAGAGACTTCCAGAGCTCAATCTGCTTAGCTTATCAAAAAGAAGATTAAGAGGTGACTTGATTACAGAGTGTAAGTGCCTTTACAAGGAGCAAATATCAGGGACTAAAGGGCTTTTTAATCTATCAAGGAAAAGCATAACAAGAACTAATGGCTGGAAGCTGTGAAAAATTCAAATTAGAAATAAGGCAAGCATTTTGTAAAGTGAGAACTGCTGACCCCATGAGTGTCTTTGCGAGGGAAGAGGTGGATTCCGCAGCTCTGCTGGAGCGGATGCCTTTCCGCGAAACACTCTTCATCCCCGGCGCTGTGCTCGGTCTCTGTAGAGGTGAGGCGTAATGGCTTGTGGTACAGTGAGGGCAGAGGACGAGAGGCTGTGAGTCATTCCGTCTTTTAACCCATTTAAATCCTCTCTCCTTGCCTGAGCAGGAGGTCACTGGATGTGGTTTGCTTGCAAAAGCCCAGAGCAGGTCTTCCCACCACATGTGGGTGGTGGAGGAGGCCTTGCACCTCTCGTCTTTTCTGTTGGCTGGACTTATACATAGCAGACAAGGAGGAGTAGTTTTTGCTTGGTTTTCTGTGTTGATGCTCTTGCCTCTCCCCTGCAGCTGGTCCTGCAGGCCTGGAATGTCCCAGACCTCTCGGCAGGAGTCAACTGCTCCTTCGAAGACTTCACCGAGTCTGAGAGTCGCATTGAAGATGGGAAGATCTACTGCAGCTCTCCCTCTGCCAAGGACGTCATCCCCATCACCAGGGGCCGCGGTGAGCTTCTGCCCTGGGGTGGGAAGAAAGCCCAAGACAAACCTTGTCCCGCTTGCTGCCCCATAGCCAAGTGTGGAGGAGGACAATTCTCCCATGACATTGATCCCTGGCCCCCAAGTAGGAACCGAGTTTGGTTCTTGTGGTGTAGGAGGAGAAGCACATTGCTGCTCCCTGGGGACTGGTCCTTGCTGTCATCCAAGCCGTGGGCGCAGCTGCTTGCTGGCGCTGCAGTGGTCTGTGCACTGGTCCTGGGCACCCTGGGCTGCTTCCCACCTGTGGACCATTCCTGGGCAGATGTGCTGTAGGTGACGGTGGGCTCTAGGACATTCTGCTGACTCCAAAACTCTTAAGCTCCCCTCCAGTACCACCGGTAGAACCCAAGGCACCTGCCTTCATGCCAGCAGGTTGCAGTGAGCAGTACTGGGACTCTATTGGCTCATTTGGTGGCTGGGTGGGTGTGGGTGGATGCTTTTTTATTGCCAGATTTGGGGGATTTTGCTTGTTAACTGGGATGGGTGGTGATGCCCAGCTCCCTCCAGCCCTTCGCAAGCCTTGGGCTGAATGCTGGGCCGTGCACTGTGTCCTTTCTGAAACCTTTTTCTGCTTTGGTCTCTCCCAGGGGACAAGCGAGTGGTGAAGCTCTACCTGAAATCTAAGGAGACGGGGAAGAAGTTCGCCTCTGTGGATTTTGTTTTCTACAACTGCAGCGTCCATCAGTCGTAAGTGGCCTGGGCTTCGCGAGAGCGCTCCGGGAGCAGATTGGTGGGGCAGTGTGAGACTGGGAGAGAGAGATCTCAGCTTTGCGGGTGCTGATGTTGCAAGAGGAAAGGGCAGTCAAGTATAGTGGTGTTTGCAGTGAGAAACCTCCTCCTTTTGCCCTTGTAAACTGGGACGGTGACCAGAGCACCCACAGTTGGTTTGGGCGTGTGGGAACATGTAGCGTCAGGGCAGAACCTCACTTAAAAACAGGGCTTTGGGTTTGGCAAAGCTTTGGAAGAAAAAACGAGTTTACTGCATTGCAGACTATAGCAATCCATGTGACGGAAAATGCCAAGCATCTTGTTATTCCTGGAAACAGTTAATAGGAGTGAGTTGGCGATGCAAAAGGAGAAGCCTGTGTTTTCCTGCGATGGTACCCGCGTCCCAGGCTTGCTGGAGAGCGAGCTGGAAAGTTGCAGTAAGGTGGGACGGAACATGATGCATGTCCTGGGGCATTTACCCAAGAATTTCCTAACTGGAAGTAAATGTGAATTTGCTTTCTTGTCAGGCTGCCTTGAAGTCTACTCCACTACGGGTTTTTAGGCAGATTGAGATATGCGTGTGATAAAATAGAGGAGGTGTGGATTATCGATGTGCTGCCTAAGCAGGGTGTCTAAAGCCTCTAACAGCGAGCTCCTGATGAGGAGCTGCGACGGTGTGCTAGAGCGGCGGGGAGACGGCTCCGCGGTGGGGACGTCGGAGGAGATGCTGGGGTGTGTTTGGGCAAAGAATTTGGAGCTCAAGAATGCAAGCGATTTCATTACCCTGCCAGAAACCTCCCACGGACGGCGGCGGGCTGCCTGATCAGTAATTATAGATAAGCAAACGCAGAGTGATCTCTTTAGGACGGCTTTTTGCAAAGTGTCTAGCCTGGCTTGGGGGGGCTTCTGCTGCAGGTTGCTCCTCCAAACCCTGTTCAGATTTTCCATGTTGATCAGGGAAAAGCAGGTGAGATGCAGGCACCCCGGCTGCGTGCCTGCGGTGAGCTCCAGGGCGGATGCGTTGGAGGAGAGGCCCTGCCAGCCTTGGGCATCACAGGGATTTCTGCCCTGCCCACTCGTGGCACAGGGAGCAGGTCTCGGCTCCTGGGAGCTCTGTGTCAGTGAGGGAGGAGAGAGTTTGCAAACCTGACTTTCTCCCTCACCTTGACACCCAGGATGAGCTTTGTCTCCCTTCACGTTGTGTGGTTTCAATAACATTAGCTCAGCTTTAGCTCAGCCTGGCTGCATGTCAGTATTTTACAAATCAAAAAGCAGATGTGACTTTTATTTTTCTATATGAAAGAAAGAAGATGTTTAAGCACAAATGGCAATGGATTCGGTCCAATCAGGGCTCCAGCATTTTGGTCCAGCGAGAAGAGGTGGTGAGGGAATTGGCATTTTATTTTACGTGCCTAACATAGGAGGGGAAGAAAAAAACCCACCTTCCTTCCCTCCCCCCCCCAAATCTACAACAAAGAGCCCTGACTGATTTATTACTGCGTTGATGTTTAATTTTGGATGCATTATTTAAAAAGGCTAATTATGGATGCATTAATATTTATGGGCTCCGGTTGGAGCTGATAGAAAAGTCCATGTTCTACGCTGGTGAACATTATTATTATTATTTTCTTTACGTCAAGAATTTTAGGGTTTGGAGGCAGTTTTCACTATGTGACCTGCAGTCGAGTCATAGCCAAAGAGCATGACAAGACCTAGGATGATGCAATACTTTTAAATACCGTTTGCAGACAGACGTCTTTAATGGATCTCTTCGGAGTTAATAGCCTTTCAGATCCAGGTTTCATATTTTGTGGAGGAAAATCTATACGTCAGCCTGATAAATTCTGTATTAGGAACAATATGCTTTTCCATGAGGCTGATGTTTTTCCTGTGGAGAGCTCTGATCACTGTGCATTGCATTTTCTTTTTACGTTTGGGCGGCTTTGCTTAGATTGGGAGCCAGAGGCCTGTGTGTCGAATCCTTTCTCAGCCGAGGACGGAATGTTTAGGTGAGATTTTTCAGATGGCTGTGGAGAGGTTGGAGGGTTATAAGGCAGCTCTTCCCTTGCGTCAGCTGGGGTAGCTTCAGGGAAGCCAACACAGCTCCACCGTATACACTGGGGAGAGTCTGACCCTGCTTATTTTCAGCAGATGCCTGGAAAGGCATCAGCAAATCGCGCTGCTAAAGCTCTTTTGCGGGCTGCCCATGGGGCTGATCCTGCTGCTGTGCGAGCATCCCGGCTCTCTTGTTTCTCACCACCCTGCAAAACTTCATCCCATGTGTTTTCAAAGACTGCTGGAACCAGCCTGATCCAGGGGAGGGTTGCAAAAGGGAAGATATATCTAACCCCTGCTCCTACGGAGGGCAGGAGGGCTACGGAGGAGGTTGTGCTGGCTCTAAGTTTGGCTTGTGATGGTCAAGGCCAAAGAGGTGCCTTCCAGGTGGAGCCATGTTGCTGTCCTGTCTCTTACTGCAGGGCTTTATAGTGTCACCTGGTGTAAAGGGACTGTCCCCATTGCAGACCAGCATCGCTGGCTGCTGGGGCACTTCTCCCTACGGGGTCCCTGGGACCCCTGTTGTGGGACTGGTACCCTCGCTGGGGCTCCGTTCCCTGCTCCAGCAGGGTCACCTGCCAAGCTTCTGGGGGTCCCGGCTTGATGTGCTGCACCCTGGCAGCCTCGGGGCTCCCGTGGGGCTCAGGCAGGTGCTTCCCGGCAGTGGCATCTTTTGGGCATCTTGCCCGTGGAGGTTTGTGCGTCAGGCAGGGGATGTTTCTGGCTGAGCTGTGAGAGGTGCGTCGAACAGGGGAGTGGAAACCTGGAGGTCGGTGCAGAAAAATGAGTCCCTTGCAAAGGGGGACGTGGGTGACTGAGGGTTGCTGCCAGCCCATGGTGGGGAAGAGGGCTGCCTGTGCAGGCTCAGCTCTTGGGGACAGGCTGTGGTTCCTGTGGTGAAATGTAGAAAACCCCGTGGCAGGGCCCGGGGTGGCTTCCCTTGGGGTTTCCTATGGGGCACCGATCAAGCGCAGGCATTTAAAGGCCGCTCGGCGCCTTTGATCATCTAATGAATCGGCCCGTGTCCAGCGCGTGTGCGGGCAGATGTTGAGGTCGTCTTTGTCAGCGTTAAACTCCCTCTTCAAAGCATTTGTAGGG